GATGAGGAGGTAAATAACAAGGAAGGGGAAAGGCCAAGAAGACGGAGGAAAAGAGCAAAGAAGCAAACTAAGACTGTCAAGCAAACATGGCTGGTGAAGAAGCCAGAAGTGAGTGCCGAAACAGAACCAGAACCACAGAGGGAAGTAGTCCTACAAGTAAACCCTACTCATGAGATTGAATGCACTGAGATGGGTAGAGTGAGTATAGAGCCTATTCAGCAGAATGTTTCTATGCCATGTCATATAAAAGATTGGATTAGCATACAGGATAACATATGCTGCAATCCTGTGAATGAAGATTGCAATGATAAAGGGAAGGCAGCTGCTGGGATAAAGGATGGTGGGAGTAGAGGACAACAGGAGGACCCAGGTCCATCATGCCATGTAATTTCCAACTCACTATGATCATTGTCACTTGGAACATTAGGGCCCTTAACCAGGCCCATAAACAGAAAGAGGTCAAAACCTTTCTGGCTAAAAATAAGGTAGATGTAAGGGGGTATATTGAAACCAGAGTTAAAGAACATAAGGCTAAGAAAATACAAAAAAAGATTGCTCAGGGGTGGAATGTTTATTACAATTATCCTTATGTTGTGAATGGTAGAATTTGGATACTGTGGAGAGCACACATACAACTACAGATTATCCACACTACAGATCAATTCATCCATTGCCTAGTGGAGGATACCAACACTCGAATTACAACACATCTCAGTATCATTTATGCTTAGAATGATGGCCAACAAAGGGAGAATCTATGGAGGGACCTTAAATAGCTAAATATGCAGGCTCAGGAGACATGGCTACTTAGTGGAGATTTTAACAATGTGCTATCTTTTGAGGATAGAATAGGGTCCCCTGTAACTACTACTGAAACAAAGGGATTCAAAGATGTGATTGATTCTCTACAGCTTACCCCTCTTATAGCTAAAGGATGGCATTACACTTGGACAAACAAATAAGGTACTGGTTCAAGAGTATATAGCAAGATAGATTGGGCTTTGGGAAACTACCAGTGGATACAACAATATGGTCATGTAGAAGCAGATTTTTTGAATCCATCAGTCTCTGATCATTCCCCTATCCTAATCAAATGTGGTCGACAGAAGTTATTACATCCTAAACCATTTAGACTATACACAAATGTTATGGAACTTCCACAATTCCAGAATATTATTCAACATGCTTGGAGTCAGAATTATGATGGCACACCTGTGCAACAGATCTGGTGCAAGCTGAAGGATATGAAGACACATCTGAGAGACTCTAATGCCTATATGGCTTCACACAAACAAAAACTTGAGCGGGTAAGAGAAAAATTGGATACTGTTCAGAACCAAATTCAGCAGGATCCTTTGGCACATAACCTATTTGATTTAGAGAAAGACACACTAGCTGACATTGAGAAATGGAGCAACATTGAGAAACAAGTGATGAGATAGAAGTCAAAGGCTTGTTGGATTGAATGTGGTGATGCCAATACAAAGTATTTTCATGCTCAATGGAAGATTAGATCCAGTCAGAATAGTATAACATCCATAAACACTGATACAGGAATAAAGATAACAGATCCCAAATTGGTTGAGCAGGAATTCATCAAAGTGTTTCAATCCTTGATGGGAGATTGTGCTACTGAAATGCCTTATGCAAATACAGATATAATGAAGGAAGGACCATGCTTAACTATATCACAACAAAGAGATTTAATCCAGGATGTTACAAAGGAGGAGATCACTGTTGCAGTATGGGAGATGCCTAAAGACAAAACACCAGAGGTTGATGGTTTTCCTGTGGAATTCTTTACTAGGAACTGGAATATAGTGAAGGAGGACATCTTTGCAGCTGTGAAGAACTTCTTTTCTACCAGTAGCCTTCCTGGAATGATCAACATTACAGCCATCACATTAGTACCTAAAGTTCCAGCACCTTCAACAGTCAAGGACTATAGGCCTATTGCATGTTGTACCACATTGTATAAGATTATATCTATAGTCATTACAAAAAGAATCAAATTTGTTCTTGATTGGTTGATTGGTCACTCTCAATCAGCATTCACTGAAGGGAGGTGTATTATTGATAACATACTACTAAGTCATGAACTGTTTAAAGGATACTCCAGAGAAGGTATCTCTCCTAGATGTGTGCTGAAGGTGGATCTGAGGAAAGCTTATGATACTTTGGAATGGGGTTTTCTCGGAAGAATGCTTATTGACCTTGGTTTTCCCTTCAAGTTTGTGCAATGGATAATGACATGTGTTACTACAACGTCATATTCCTTAGTACTAAATGGAGGACTGACCAAGCCTTTCAAAGGAAAAAGGGGGATTAGACAAGGAGACCCAATGTCTCCATACTTATTTGTTATTGCAATGGAGTATCTGGGTAGACAACTGGGACAATTGCATAAGAATGGAAATTTCAACTTTCATCCTAGGTGCAGGAAGTTAAACACTACACATATATGTTTTGCTGGTGACCTCCTGATGTATTGTAGAGCTGATTTTGAGTCTATGAAGATCCTAAATGCTGCCTTCCACAGGTTCTCAGTTGTTTCTGGCTTACAGGCAAATGTAGACAAAAGTGCTATACATGGCTGGAATCTCTCAAACTGAAAAACAGGAAATCCTTGCAACATTGGGGTTTACTGAAGGAAAGCTTCCTTTCAAATATTTGGGGATCCCTCTAACTTCCAAGAAGCTAGCAGTCCATCAATATTTACCTCTTATTGAGAAGACAACTACAAGGGTCACATGCTGGTTAGCAAAACTTCTATCTTATGCTGGCAAATGTCGATTGATCAAGGCTGTTATTTTTGGCATTCAAACCTATTGGGCACAGATCGTTGTTCTTTCAAAGAAAGTGATGAAAGCAATTGAGGCACTATGCAGAACTTTCCTATGGACATGTACTACTACAATCTCAAAGAAAGTACTGGTGGCTTGGGAAAAGGTGTGCAGACCAACAACTGCTGGAGGACGCAATATACTAGACATAAAACTGTGGAACAAAGCAACAATTATACAACATCTGTGGGATATAACAAGGAAAAAGGACTGCTTATGAATAATGTGGATGCACAGTTTTTATATAAAGAACAGGAACCTGGAAACAATGGCCACACCTAAGGCTGCATCTTGGGTGGTGAGGAAGATACTAGAAAGCAGAAGTTTGATTATGGAGCATCAACAACTCCAAGGAAACATTCATAACAGACTACAGACAATGTGCACTGATACAAAGTTCCAGATTAAACAGATGTACTTGAAATTGATACCAGTATACCCTAGAGCTGAATGGAAAAGGGGCACACAAATATACATCCAAGATATAGATGCACCCTATGGATTACAGCACAACAGAGGCTAGCTACAGTGGAAAGACTGTTGAAGATTGGTATCCAAGTCCCTGCAGCCTGTGCATTCTGTGGACATAGCCTGGAATCCTTTAGCCACTTGTTCTTTGAGTGCACCATCACAAAGCAACTGTGGTCCAGACTATGTTCATGGCTGGGATATAAGAGGAGCATTGGAAATTGGGAAAGAGATTCAAAATAGGCATGCAAGAAAGCCAAGAGCAGAAGAGGAATAAATACTATTACTAGCTGTGTGTTTGCCATGACTGTTGCACTGATTTGGAGGGAGAGGAACACAATCAGATTTGACCTAGCTAAGTTTGATCATCACCAAATCTGTAGAGAGATAGTATTACACATACATATTAGAGGGAAGAACATAGGCAAGTGGAAAGAAGCATTGCAGCAGCTGGATTAGATTCCATAGATTGAATTAAAAGTAGAAATCCTTGTTGTAGTTGGTTTTAAACAAGCGTCTGTATTGAAAATAGTGTAGGATAGATACACTCAAAATTATTAGTAGCAGATTTTGATGTATATTGGGAGCAGCCTGTCAAAGTTGCTCCTCGGACTCAACTGTACATAATTTTGAGTATCAATAGGATATAACTTTAACTCAAAAAAAATTCTTTTTATATAAAATTAAGACATATATACCAATGAGTTGTCCCACCAGCACTGATTGAGTCAATCTCACTCATCAGAATGCGCCTCATGCGTCTCAAAAAGCGGTACACAAAGACTTGGCTGAAGGAGAATACGAACATGCTCCACCTTATGGAGCCGCCAGACGGCAATAGGCCGGCGTATGGATCACCAGAAAGCCCCCCCCCCCCTCCCCAAACCAAGTGCGAACCAATCATCAGAAGGAAACCCAGCAATAACATCATATGCCAACAACATAGTCAATTCAAAGGGTTCTACAGCAACTCCAACTCGTCAAGAACAGGAAGGGGTGATAGCGAGGAACAACACACAATGGAATGACAGTGGTGATATTCAAGACCAGGGACTACTATGGAGTCATGGCGGCTAAATGCAGGAGAACAATTGTGGGGAGATTCTGAAGATTGCCCCCAAATTGCAAAAATTAGGTCTCGATTCCTAGAGCGATTTCTGCTGAAGGGATCGTCAAGATCGGGTGTTTGACAACTATAATGTCTTTCTAGATATTACAAATGATGAAGCTTTCAATATTGTGTGGTACAAGAGGGCAGTGGACATTGAGGATCACAAAATGTGGCTCCAGAAATGGAGCACTGACTTCAAACCAGAGGAAGACTTGCCTATTTTTCCAGTATGGATTCTTCTTCCTAAGTTACCTTTCCACCTTCATATGTGGCACTACGTAAAACAAATAGCAGGAGAGGTTGGTACTCCATTGAGTTGGACATTGCTACGAGGGAAATAACCAGACCAAGTATGGCCAAAGTTAGAGTTGAGGTTGATCTTCTTAAGCCTTTACTTAACCATGTTTGGGTTGAAGACGAGGACGATGGCTCCCACTGAAAGGATTCGAACAAAAACTGGAGTATGAAAGTGTACCCAAGTACTTTAGACACTGCAAGAAGCTGGGGCATGACTTGGTAAATTATAGAGTGGTTGAGAAGATGATAATTGCTGGAAAAAAAAAGAGGAGAGGGCCATGATGAATGACTCAACTAAGCAGGTGCAGATACATGGAGAAGGCAACAAGAACAAAAGTGGAGAGGAATTGATCACTAACAACAACAGGACAACCCAGGAAAAGGCAAACGAAGTGGCAACAATCGAAAGAAAATTACAAATAGAACAGAAGAATGATAAGGTAGATAAGGACAACTTTGATAATGTAAAAGGAGAAAGAGAGATGATCAGTATAAAAATGAGAACCAACAGCTAAAAGAAGAAAAAAGTCAAGACAAAAAAGATGTCCAAGACGAAATCGAAGATCACCTTTAAACCATAGAAGGTGAGACAAGAAGAGAACAAGGAAAAGATATCTACAGAGGTAAACAAGCTACTCTAGTGGAGGAAAACAGTAACAGTAAAAAACAATATGAGGGAAGCACCAATAGTATAAGAAAAGAAGATAGCAATAACAGGGATGTCCAATCTACTGTAAAGGAGCAAGAGGTAGATAAGGAAAAGAATTACAAGACACTTCCTCTAAGGAAGGCAGGGGTCTAAAAGATGCAGTTAACAACAACACCAGTAGCAGCATACAACAAGTAGCAGAATCAAAAATAGATTCTTCTAATGTGGGGGACTGAAATCAGAAACCATCCAGGAATTCATTTAGTGGTCAATCTTAATGGTTCATCAACTAATAAGTAGCAACTAGGGGAAACACCGCACCAGTCAGATGATGAAGTAGCCAATACCTTGATAAATGCTTTTTAACCAACGAACCATAGCGATGGAGAATTGGATTGTCACACCCTAAAACCATGTGACTGACACTCGGTACTCTACCCGACCCAAGTGAACCATCTCATAAATTAATACTCATCTATGTGCCTAATGGGGGGTATGAAAGCCTCTTCAAATACAATTATTTTAAGATATAAATTAAAACATAAATAATATCTTTAAGCAAATATTTTACTTCAAAAGAAAACTCCATGAAGATAAAAGAAAGTTTCATTCATGCATGCCATATGAGTAACCATAGGATTACAACCCAAAAATGAATACTACTATTGTTTATGGAATCTCTATGACGCGAAATAACATAGCCAACCAAGGAATAACTCGGTGGCTCAAAAGAAAAATAATATAATAAAGTCCTCCACGGGTGCAAGGGTGGAGTCTCACCAAAAGTATGAACAAAAAATGTAGGGCTACCCTATCCACGCGGTCCAAGCTGCTCAGGTCCAGTCCCTGAAAACAGAAATGAAATGTGGCCGAAAGGCCTAAGCTCCACATTCCTAGTACGAATCATGAACCCTTCCCCAACAAAAAATATAGGACAATCCTTAAGAAGATATAAGATATGAAATAACAATTGATATAAGAAAGAAGCACTTATATCAATTAATAATTTAGAAAATAAAATAAAATAATAAGATAAAACATATTTCAATGTCTTCCTTTAACATTAATCTTTACAAAATCATGTTAGATTTTTCATTTACCGGGAGCACTATACCATCACCGACACGAAGAAAAGTCAACTAGGTTATGTACCTAGCGGCAAGTATCATATACCCTACTTGCTCAGGTCGTCTCATCATTGTGCTGCACAAATCGACTCAGTCGTGCTAATAAAGTAGCACAATAGTACCCTCTAATGGGAAATACTCTGCCGTAGTTCCCAACCGTAAGGTGGGTTCTACGCCTACACCGGCACGTGTACTTTTATGACCTAATTAGGAAAAGTATCCAAGGTCAATCTCGGTGAACTTAAGTAACTCCCAAAACCTTTACATTTATCAATGACGATATTCATAGACAAATCAACTATTTGAGAACAATTAAATCTAAGATATTTTACAACTCATGTATTTCCGTTTCAAAAAAATACTACAAGTACTATTCCGCATCTATTTAGTTTAAAAATTTGAATACATTTCAAGAAAATAATATTCATAACAATCAAATCTTTTATGATGCAAGAAATGGTACAATCCCAACTCGCTCGTCCCCACAAGCTAGGACCTACATTACTCAATTTAATCGTGTTTCAATATGAGTTTGGAGAAAAGCTTTGAAGGTAATAAGTTTCAACGTACCTCAAATTGCTTCCAACCTTACCCCAAATGATCAAATAATGCCGACGAGTCACAATCTACATATACGAACTCACATAATTTATTAACGCGTCACAACAATACCAACTAACCCAACTAAGTATCTAATACTTTAAGTCCAATTTCATAAGTTTAGCAAAAATCCCCATTTCATCATTTGAAAGTAAATCCTTGAATTTTAACTCCAAATCCGTCATTAAACATATTATGAGATCTAGTTGTTCTACTAGAAGCTCAAAATAACATCGTTCAAACAAGACCCAACACTATTCAGCATCCCTACCAGCCAACTCTTCTAGGGTTTCATGAATAGGTGTTTAAATACAAACCTATCTTCATAAACATACTCTACTACGCCCATGGAGTATAATATATAATTTTGGAGTGAAGAAATTACCTCTTTGTCACACCCTAAAAATTTCAAGATTTGTGTTCTTGAAGTGTTCTTGAGATTTTCGTCAAAAATCTATGAATTTCATGATGTTGGAGGGTTAAGAGATGAAATAAATGGACCAAATCTACCGAAGGAGGGCATTTGATTCTTACCTTGAAGATGCATTAATGGTATGGGACTCCTTTCTCTCTCTAAGTCTTCACAGGCAAAGCCTAAGATAAAGAATTAGTCTTTCCGTAATTGCCTTTAAAAGGCTCCAGGTATTGGTTTCAAATTCGGATGCCAACTTGCACGCGTTCTGCTCATTACACTGCATAACATTTGGCAATTGCAACATTCAGAGCCTAAGGGGATGCGACGCATGCTTATTAGCGTCGATTTGGTTTCCTTGTTTCTTCCTTGGTTCAACAATTATACATTGAATATAAAATAGTATCCAAGTATTACATGAATCATTTAATACATTTGTACGTTAATTAGCCCAACATTCACTCCTTAGTTTAATATATTTTCCAAGTGTGCTAGAGGACTTTTCTTAGCCAATGCAACTCTTTGTTTCTATTTCCCTTTTTGTTCCCTTATTAGCTTCCATGAGATTCCTACTCGAATTGCTTGATAAAGTAATTACTCTTAAGCATTTCATTAACCTTGTATTATTTCATTACTCTCATGCGGTTAGAATTTACTCAAATTACATCCTTAAGCTCAAAATTAACCCGAATTAATTATGAAAATCGGGGCTTTACATGGATGACCACTACTAGAGGCATCGAAAGGAGGTAGTAGACAAAACAGGATTGTCTCCAATGTCAAGAGGAAGAAGTAGGAGCAGAGAAGGGGGAAGAAAGACAGAATTCAATCCAACCCTGACAGGGGAAGGATACAAACCAACCTCTCCTAACTCTTTTATGAGTAATTCCATCTTTTGGAATATAAGAGGGATGAGATCCAAGAAAGCCAATCACAGGTTGAAACAACTTGTACAAATATAAATAATTTACAGTTCATTGCCATCTTTGAACCTTTTGTTAGGAAAGACAAAGTTGAATGTTATAGAAGATTCTTGGGGTTTGATCATTGTTTGTCCAATGATATAGGACAAATTTGGTGTTTCTGGTCTAGAAACTTCAACGCCAATATTGTTTGGGAAGATGATCAACAAATCACTGTTAATTTGAAGGATGCTTACGGAGGAAATGAAATGTACATTACAATAGTCTACACTAAGTGCACAACAGAAGACATAATGGATATATGGGATAGTCTAGTACAATTTGAATCTCAGATTAATGGACCTTAGTGAATAGGAGGGGATTTCAATGTTATTTTGGATCCTTGTGAGAAGAGGGGGTAGACCACATAGAGTTAGCAAGAGCTTTGATTTTGCAACTTGCATGAATAATTGTGGTGTTACAGTGGGTATGTGGGTTCTACCTTTACCTAGTGTAATAATTGGAGTCCTTGGAGGAGGATACGGAAGAGATTAGATAGAATCATGGTTAATGATGATTGGATGTAGAAATTTCAAAGCACTGTGGTCAGGCACATCAGCAGATCTGGTTTTGCTCATGGGCCCTTGCTTATGAAGTGTCAAAGAGATCAAAAGGAATTTGTAAAGTACTTTAAATTCCTGGACTTTTGGGTTGAATAACCAGATTTCTACGATCTAGTTAGGAAGGTAGGGCACTCAAATTCTTGTAAATCTTATGTGGATACTACAGTAGAAACTCAAAATTAGGAAGAAGACTAAGTTACTGGTCAAAGAATGTAATTGGTAATGTATACCTAAAGAGGGAGGAATGGAAAGAGGCAGTACAATCTCTGGAAGATCTAGATTTAACAGTTAACACTGAACAATCTAGAGAAGATTTAAACAAAGCACAAGTAGAGTATGTCAGATGGATGGCTATACAAGAATCTCTTCTAAAACAGAAAACCCAAGTCAGATGGTTTAAGAAAGGTGACTGTAATAGTAGGTGCTTCAGCAATGTCATTAAAGACAAGAGGAGAAGGATGCATCTTCACAAAATAAAGAACCATATAGGTAATTGGATCCAAGGGGAAGAGAGAATTGCCAAAGCTGCAGTGAGGCCTTTTCAGAAGATATTCAACCTTGCCCTTGTCAATGTAGACGAGAATGTTTTGAATTGCATCAAGGAATTTATCACTGAAGAAGACAATCTACAACGATCACAAGTTCCTGAGGAAAGTGAAATCAAAGATACTATTTTTGATATGAGTGGTACAAGTTCCGCAGGACCAGACAGATTTAATGGGATCTTTTACCAGAAGTGTTGGGGCATTATCAAAGAAGATGTGGTTAAATTGGTTCAGAGCTTCTTCAAAGGGAAAATACTAACTAAGTTCTACGCTCATACATGTCTGGTATTGATTCCAAAAGTACAGTCTCCTTCCAACTTTGCATAACTGAGGCCAATTAGTCTTAGTAACTTCGCTGCTAAGATAATTTTGAAAGTACTGGCTAGGACACTTCATTCATTGTTGCCGAGATTGATTTCAAAAAATCGGAGTGGATTTGTAAAGGGCAGACTTATTACAACTAATTTGTTTTTAGCTCAAGAGATAGTGCATGGTATTTCTCAGCCAAACACAGGTTGTAATACAATGATCACACTGGATATGGGCAAAGCATATGATAAGCTTTCTTGGGAATTTCTAATCTCAGTGTTGAGGAACTTTGGCTTTTCTGAATGGTGACTGAATGCTATAAGTAGGCTGGTTTTAGACGTGTGATATTCAATCATAGTTAATGGTGCAAGAAAGGGCATCTTTACTTCTTCTAAAGGCTCCAAGCAAGGAGATTCCCTTTCACCTCCCTGTTTATATTGGGAGTAGAAATCCTGTCGCGGTTGCTGAATAAAATGTATGATAACCCCAAATTTGTTCCTTTTCTATGAACATCAGAGGACCCAAAATAAATTACCTGGCCTATGTAGATGACATAGTAATCTTCAGTGGAGGAAAACACAAATTCTTGAAACTTGTCATGAAGCAGGTGAGACTTTATGAGAGAATCTCAGGTCAGAAGGTCAATGAAGATAAGAGTTTCTTCTGTACTTCAATCCTCAACTTCAAGGATAAATAGAATGATTAACAGTACTAGCTTCAAGAATAAGCAGTTTCCATTCACCTACCTAGGGTGCCCTCTATATGTAGGAAGGAAGAAACTGCCACTATTTGATGATTTGGTGAATAAAATCATAAAGAAGATACATGACTGGCAGGGGAACTTTCTATCTTATGGTGGAAAAATCACTCTGATCAAACATGTTCTTCAAGATGTCCCTACATATACCCTTGTGTCAATGCACCCCCCCCCCCCAAGGGGACTTTCAAGTTGATAGAGAAGCACTAGCATTTTTAAGCTATTTTGTCTAATTTTGCAATAATAGCCTATATTCACATAATTGCCCTCCATTTTATATTATTTTGTACCAAAATAGCATATTTATATTTTTATAGTACAAAGTTATTATTTTAAACATTTCAGGGCATAAATAATATTTATTTTATTTATTAATTATTTTTATAAATCATTTTTGATGAATTTTAGGGTATTTAAATAACAGCTCAAATTTTGCCTATTTTCGGACCCAAACTACCCAAATCTCTGGCCCGCCTCCCCCCCCCCCAAAGCCCAATCCAAACGACCCTAATTCCCAACCCAATCCAAAAAACTGACCCAACTCCTCTCAAATCCCAGTCGTTGATCAAAAAGTGATCAACGACTCATANGTATTTTTAATTTATATAATTCACAAAGATACAAAAATACGTTGCATGCGCATTTAGGATTTGATTTTACATATTTTAGATTAATTAGTAATTAGGGTTTTACAAAAATACAAAAATCACAAAATTTGATTTATTTTAGCTTTGAATTTTGTTAGTTTTCCTTTAATTTATTTTAATTAATTTTGTTAATCGTCATTTAGGTTTAATTAGTTTAATTAGGTCCTAGGATTTAATTCAGAGTTTTTATTTTTAAATTTTGTAAAAGGAAAAGAAAAGAAAAAGATAAATAAAAGAAAGGAAAATAAATAATATTTATTTTATTTATTAATTATTTTTATAAATCATTTTTGATGAATTTTAGGGTATTTAAATAACAGCTCAAATTTTGCCTATTTTCGGACCCAAACTACCCAAATCTCTGGCCCGCCTCCCCCCCCCCAAAGCCCAATCCAAACGACCCTAATTCCCAACCCAATCCAAAAAACTGACCCAACTCCTCTCAAATCCCAGTCGTTGATCAAAAAGTGATCAACGACTCATAACATTTCCCCCGTTTCTTCTTATAACCCAACCCCTAACCCTAGAGACATATTGTCTCTACTTCGCCACCCTCACACACTCTCATCTTCTACGAACCCTAGTTGTCTCACCCCCAAATCCCCTCTCCTAATCCCATTGATAATGGGATTTCACCATTATTTGCTTACCATATTTGGGTTCCTTTGGTACTGGCTACTCGATTTTGGTATTACTTAGGTATTTGCCTAATTTTGGAAAATACCACCTCTATATCGGATGAGAATCGACTTAATCTTGAATATTTGTGTGATATTTTGTTCATATACGCGAGATGAGCTGGATCCTTCATACCACTTGTCCGATTTTGAGTTTAAAACCCTAACTAGGGTTTGGAGTTTGATACTCTTCCTTTTCTGTTGTTTTACTGACTTGCATGCAAGATTTCCCCCTTTTCTTTATCTGTGTTAACTTGATTTCTTTCCTTACCTATGTTTAATCAATTATTTTCTTGTTTGTGCATCCGATTTTACTGCTATATAAACCCATCCCCCTTCCCTTTTTTGGACAGACCTTAATCGATAATCTCACTAAAAACTTGAGGCTTTGCTCTATGAATTCCTTTATTATCTTGCTCTTTGTTTTTGTGGTGGCCGGCTGAAAGCCAAGTCCACAGAGAATCTACTGTTCGAACTTCTAGGTGCAAGCATTGCCCGGGGTTCTTTGAAGCCTTTGGGAACTTTGATGCATCGAGGTTTCTGGGTTCTTGTGGATCTTTTGCTTTTGTTTGTTGTTCGTCTAACTGGTAAGCTACTTGACTCTTGCAGTTTCATCCCTATGTGTTCTTGATTTGCGTATGTTCTCACCTCTGAAATTCTTGGCTTAATATGTTTTCTGGATTACTTTTGTGCACGATTTTGTTAATTATACTTTGTTCTAAGTCCGTTAGCATCTGATTCTCCTCCTAATACTACTAGTTCTGTGTTTGCATAAGCCTAACTTGGGTAATATGAGTGCAGTGGTCTAGATGTTTCCCTAATTCATGCTTATTTGTTTTGTCTTTAACCTCTATAGTGAATGCTAGAATGTCTGTGTTAATTATGACATGTTCACTTGCTATTTTGTCACTCAGCATGCTCACTTGATCCCCATACCCCATTAGTTACTGATTGAGATCTTAACAGTTACCTCAACCTGTTTTTCCATGCCCTGCTTGAACCATTTTGTGACATGATTTAGATCTTCTCTAGTTGTTTGTCTATTATGACAATCTTAGAATACCCATATATGATATTTGGTATGAGTTTGCTATCTTACACTGTTCCGAGTCCTTGCAATGTTTGTCCTGCATGTATAATGTGTTGCAATTTGTATTAAGACTATTTTCTATCGACTATGATCTTGCTTCTATGCTAATATTTTGCCAGTCTGTCCTTTGTTCATTTGATACCCTGTTTCTTCCAATGTTTATCACAGAATGTGTCCTCCGTCATGTCTAAGTACTGATTAGCATGACCCTAGGATGCATGTTTAGCTTAATCTAAACCTCATATGCCTCAATTGGTTTAGTGTCATGACTGATAACCTATTCAAACCTGTTTCTTTCCCCAACTTCTTCCAATATATGGCTGTCTATGTGGTGCTTTGCTATGTGTTGAATTCTGCTAAACTTGCTGGCCTGTTTGATTAGTTGCTCTCTATGGCTATGTCTACTTTAGGTTATAAGTGTGTTCCCCCACTTCTGTCCCTCAGCTATTGTCCATTCTCCCTCATTGTCACTTATGCTATTTTGAACTCCTTATTCTTAGCCGACTGAAACCCAAGTCTATCAAGGCTCTTGTTACTAACCTCCCTAGTGTGAGCACTGCTCGGGGTCCATTGGAGGCCCTTGTGAACTCTGACACAGTAGGATTTGGGTCTTTGATCATCCCCCCTGATACTGAAACCTACACTATCCCTGACACCCCACTCTTTCTGTCTATGGTCTATTGAATGTGTAAATTGGTTGGTCAATCTATGGTTGTGTGATCTAGCCTAAGTTCTATGGATTCTAGGTTGTGCTGATGAATATGATTCCTGGGCATGCTGTATGAGAGTTGCTGAAGGCCTAGGCAATGCTGGGTGTTTCCTTTTGGGCCTGCTATGAGCCTACTGCCATTATTTGTACAATACTTGTAATTACATTACTATTGGGCCTGTAATATCTTTGTAATGAACAACTGGGTGTTAGTAAAATGGGGAATGGGTAGATTCTTAATGTTTGCATGAAATGAGTAGATAATATGCCTATAGAACTTATTGATTCACTTGCTATATGTGCCATTCGATCTATATGTGCACTATAGAAATCATGTCATTAGGATAAGCATACATGTGTACACTGCCTGTTAGCAAACGTGAATGCCGCAATTGTTTCTTACTGCTATGCATTGTTAGAGAACCTGCCTATAGTAACAAAATGCCAATGAACTATCTTTCAATTTGCCTCAGCATGATCACTAGAAAGCATGACTATAGGATTATCACTTCATTTGCTATTGTCCTACACTGTACACTAGAAACCATGTCTATAGGATCTGACCACTTCATTTGCTAATATCTCGCATTGTACAATAGATATCATGCCTATAGGATTTTAATTACTTAAATTTGCTATTGCATCATACTACCCGCCCAGAAAGCATGCCTATAGGGATAAAGCATTTAAAACCAAGCCCAATTGTCAATCGTTAGAAAACCTGCTCAGAGGATATTTATTGACGACTTCACTGCCCATTTACACAAACGACTAGATATCATGTTTATAGGACCTGCAACATTCTAATATGTTAGAGCATTACATCTATAATATTGGAATCCAGAATCACCTAGCAATCATGTCTATAGGTTTAATCACTTACAATCTGCAATTGCAATAATCCGCTTGTAATACCAAATACACCCCCCTAAAACTATTAGTTATCTATAAGTATGAAATGGCACCTTGCATTTGGAACTGCCCGTACTTTGGTTCAAAGTCATCTAGAGATCATGTCTATAGGTTTAAGGTTCTGAATTCTGAAAGCTCCTAATTTGCATATTTATTTGCTTGCATTTGTTTTCTAAGTGTGGAGTCTAACTTGAGCCCTTAACTGCATTTATTTGGAGTCCAACTT